CTTGGAATAATTATTTAAAATAATGACTTAAAATATGTAAAAGTTTAATTATATTATACATGACAAATTTTAAAATATACCAAATGTAACTTAGAAAAAAAAATTTTAAAAGCTAATGTTCACGGAATATTGGGACCGATCCCAGTCCGTATAAATATATACGGACTGGTATCGATCCGTATATATCATTTAAAAATATCAATAAAAAATAAAACAAACAGATTTATTTTATTTAATAATTATGTAATATTACCAAATAATGCAAAAATATATTTTATCATTCAAAATAAATGCATTTATAAAAAAATAAAACATGTTTAGAATAATTATTTAAAATAATGATTTAAAATATGTAAAAGTTTAATTATATTATACATGAAAAATTTTAAAATTCACGAAATATAACGTAGGAAAAAAAAGGAAAAGGTGCAGTTTAGGGAATATACGGACCGATCCCGGTCTGTATATGTATATACGGACCGAGATCGGTCCGTATATCATATTAAAGTGCATTCCCTTCAAAACAACCCCAAACTTTCTGTTTGTCCCAATCAAGGCCAGTAGAGCCGGCTCAACCACTTTCACAGCCGGCTCCACCCAAAAACCCGAGAGTCTTCTCTCTCTAAATTTAAGCCAGCTCCATGAATAGAGCCGGCTCTTCTGAAGCTCTTTGTATTTTCGGGCTTCTCTCTAGAATTAGGCCGGTTCCAGGACTAGAGCCGGCTCTCGTGTAATTTATGACTTTTGGTATTTATTGTCTATGATTTTGATGATTATATGCTCTTATTGAGAGGGAGTTTAGTATACCAAATGTAACTTAGAAAAAAAAATTAAAAAAGCTAATGTTCACGGAATATTGGGACCGATACCGGTCCGTATACATATATACGGACTGGTATCGGTTCGTATATATTATTTTAAAAAAATCAATAAAAAAATAAAGAAAACAGATTTATTTTATTTAATAATTACGTAATATTACCAAATAATGCAAAAATAGATTTTATCATTCAAAATAAATGCATTTATAAAAAATAAAATATACTTGGAATAATTATTTAAAATAATGACTTAAAATATGTAAAAGTTTAATTATATTATA